GGTGAAATAGTATGCAACTAGGATTCTGTAAGCTGTAGAGAGGCCATTTATCACAAAGCAAAGCAATGAATTTGCTAGCATGGGCTCAGTTTCATTAGCGATTCCCATATCGAAATGACCAACAAAACAATCTTGTTGCATGTTGTATATTAACTCGGGCTTAGCCCTCATCTCACCCACAATCAAAGAGCAAACCCTACACTGCGACACATCAAGTTTTTGAAGCTCTACTTTTAAACTAGCTTGAATTTGGTGATTAAAACCAGTCTCGGCAGAACTGCTCCCGATGTAATTTTGCAGCGTGCTTCTTCTCAGCAGCTTTAGAAGCATCTCTTTTCGCGCATGCTCATACGCCTTTGTAGAAAAGTGCCTAAATATAATGCAATGACGAATCACGTCTTCAGACCATGCTGGCTCCTTTGGCTTCAAGTTTGAGATTTCGTCCCACAAGAAAACGGCAAGAGGGCATTTTTCTTTTGCTTGTTCCCGCATGTACTGCAAGTCGCCAAAATGACAGTCAGACTTCATTTTGTTGAGCTCATCTTTATATCAGTGCACTGTTTCTAGAAGTCTGTCAATTTGTCTTTTTAAATCTCGCTCCTTTCGCTTCCGCTTGGCTTTTCTGTGGCAAGCAGGCTGGACACTTCAACATCAACCTGTGTTGTTTTGTGAACATCTTTACGAGAGACATGTTGGGAATCATGACTGATCATAGAAATTTTAATTGCTGCTTGATCAGTTCCCAATGTTTCTTTTGCTATCTCCTCGCTACATGGTTGGTTGATGTCTGCAGCTGGCATCCTTCATTAATGGAATTCGAATTCTAAATCCTCACTGCATGGTTGATGAACATGTTGAATCCGCTCTTGTTGGTCTTCATCGTCCAAGCACTTCCTCTTATTCCGTGGTGGCCCGTTTTCCTTGTTTGTGCTCTGCGACCTGGATCTTTTGAGGATGTTCTCAGAACACCTGTCCTTCAAAGGTTGTCCTTCAAATGTGCCGTCCTTCAAGTGCGCCGGGTATTCGGGGAATACAGATGGCACAACACCTATTTTGAGGCACTGCCGCTTGCCATCTATAAATTGTGTTTCTCTGAAATGCCTCCTGCATACTCTTGAGTAATTGAAGTTGGTGCTTGCCTCCCAGTCATCCTTCCAAATGGCTTCTATCCATTGCTGCCACAGCGTTTTGTCAGCAGGAATTTCATTAAAGGAGATGCCCGGAAGCTTGCTCTTTGAATATGACCGGCAGAGAGGTAAACAGCAGTAGGCCATAGAGATCTGCCAAAAGAAAGTAAAGAAAATAAAAATTACCATACAGGTTAATGCCTTGGGTCAAAAGTCAGTGCTTCAGGTTGAGACACAGACTTGAAGACCAGATAACTACATCGCATTCGAGATAGAGCACATTCGATCAAAAACACTGCCAATTCAGCTTAAAACTGGCACTTACTGGTGCAAAATATGCGACACCATGCTTGGTCAGCATTCAGGGTAAGACAAACAGCTTACTTACTCAAAGCGACGAAGTATAACTGCTGATTGCTTTCTTTACGGTACATGTGCAATGAGTTCACACTTGGAAACACAAAGCTTTAGGCTTACCTTTGAAATTGGGTGCTCAGGACATGTTCGTAGATTTCGTCGTTTTCAGCGTAAAGTGACTCCACCCCGTCACACTTCCTTCCAAAACTAATTGCTCATTACTGAAGCTTGAAGACAGCGAACATTCAAAACGACAAACTGTAACAGCAACGCGCGTGACCGCAAAGCCCGAGAAGTCAGCTTATCGTTGCAGCAGCCGCACGCCAACCCGATCGTGGACACACAGAGAAAGAAGGTTATGACGGCTACTAGCGGCTATTGCGTCAACTCTACATGGCTGGCGCCACCTCACGGCATCTGGCGGCGTAATCCCAGGGCAAAGTGAAGGAGTGAGAGCTGACAGCCAATGGTTACGCTTGGATCATGAGGCTGGCACAGAAAGTATAGAGAGGCCTATGAGTGGAGATTGCTCCCTGTGTCATCTGCTAGCCATGTCGTGTTTGCATGGAAGTGTACGCCATGCACGCTCTCAAAGGGTAGTTTGTTCGATTTTGTTAGCGTGGGCTCAAGTGCTTTTACACATGCCTGAAAAAATGTACATAAGCATTTAGTCTTGCTCAGCTGTTAATGCACAGTAATAAGTACAGCTAGTGCAACTTTCCATAGTGCTGTATATTATTGTGGTACTTTCCACTCACCAGAATCATTTCTGTTTTCTGTATGGGTGCCACTTTCTGCTTGAAGCACATCATAAAATTAACTTGGCATCATCCCAAACCTAGGCACTATTAAATGGTGTGCGAATGCAGCGTTTTAGCGAGCCAGATGAAAACAAAAACTATTAGGTGCATAGCTATAGTACTGTAGTGTGTCAATTAGGTTTAGTAGTGTTTATGGGGCCATGGTACCGCTACAGAGACAGAAAATATTGTATTTCACACAGTGGGCTGGCAGTTTTGTCTTGGTGGCTTCAGGTGACGGCACCCAGTCCCTGAACTCTGGCGGCATGCTCAGCCTGCCAGACGGTGCTGAACAGGGCGTTCAGCTCCGAGCTGAGGAGGGCCGCCTCCCAGCAGCGGCGGCGCAGACTAAGAAGGCTCCCTGCGGCTCCCGCAGCTGGGGCAACGGCAAAAACGATCGATCTAGAGACTGCCTCTGGTCTGGAATTTACTATCACAAAAGGCGCATTCCAATCGGCAGCGTTTTTACGACAGTTGTCACCGGCACATTCTCAAAGCATGTGGCTCAGCGTTGCTCTGGGCCCATATGCTTCACATGTATCGGTGGGGTATAAGTACGGGAAGCAGTGACATAAAATGAGCAAACTGGGGTATGAATGGGTTTGAAGCAAGCGAAAGCTTACGGCATCAAGTCTGTTTAATTTATCGTGCAGTGGCGAGAACTTACGCCTTTCAAGCCTAATGCTGGGTGATGTCCTGGAATGTTCTCAGATGATCAACCCACGACCACAGTGATCCTTGTTGCTGCATGTCTGTCAAGGTGTTTCGATCCAGTGGACCCAAAGCCTCGTTCTTGAAGTCGGAGGTGGCAGCCACGTAATAGGCCGCGGCTCGGCGAGTGAGACCTCGAGCCGCGTTTCCACGCAAGCGGGACAGTGTGTGCCGGGGTGCATAAGAGGAAGACTGTTGGAATTTGTGTTTGCGAGTGCGAGGCCGAGTCACCATTGCCACACATTTGAAGAATGCGGTCCGCTTCCCGTGAGGCACGGCCGCATGCGAGACCTTGGACTGCCGCCCGCGAATCGCTGAAGCCCTAACTACATGCACGCAATTTCCTAGCAACGGCAACAAGCGGCAGCAACAAACTTGCTCCGTCGCACCGTGGCGTCGTGACGGCTGCACTGCAACAGCATGTTGGCGACGAAGTGTCATTGTTGCTTGAAAACTGTCACGTGCATACACATAAATTGAAAATAGAAGTTTAAAAATTGGTCGATGACAACATGCCAAATTCATTACTGTCTTGTATAGCCTAAGAAAGTCACAAAAACGTTTCGCGACTTTCTTTTTCTGCAAACTTTGGTGTAACCGCTACAGGCTGCCTAGAAGCGTATACGCTATGGCGCCTACAATGCACTTCGCATGACGATTTCGCATTGTAGCAAGCGACCAAATTCTCACAAGCTACCGTCGAGACATCAAAACAAACCTTTGATAACGAGATTTATGAGAAAATATGGCGGTTCTCTCACTCTCCGCGTGAGATGAGAATGTGAAAAAGGTAGCCGATACCTTGCATCCCTTGAAGTACACGCGGATAACAAGCATAAAGAAAAAATTGCAACCGAAGCGAGGACCACAGGCACAGCCATATTGCCAGAAATCCTCACGCTGGCTTCCGGGCGACAAGCGATCTTTTCTAGTTTTCCACAAATGCGCGATGCGATAAGCAGCGGCGACGAATGGGCCTCCGCAACAGCAAATCTTGTTGCTCGTTGCTGCCACTTGTCGCTGTTGCGAGGAAATTGCATACATGTGGTTGTGGCTTTATGACGATCTCCACATTTCGCATTCAGACAGCGTGCTTTGCGTTTATGTTGTACAATTTCATGAAAAATCTCACCTTTTTCTTCACAATATCTTGAGCGTTTTAGTGGCATTGCTATTGACTGATGAAAGGCAGCAGTCATTTTTCTTTTCAGAAGAAAAAAAAACATTCTCATCACAAAATAACCAGACTTTGTTATCTCACTATTACGAACGTCATCCATCGATGAAAGCTATATATCTGCAGAACTCTGACAAGCTTTTTATACTTTTACTGGTGCAAGAACATTTGCATCCCTCGTAAACGTCAAGGTAGAACAAAGCATTGTCAGCCACTAAGCTTTCCTCACTGGTCTTATCGACTGTCCCACATTTCATCGTGAACAGAATAAAAAAAATGCGTATGCATGTTTGTGCAAACAGTAGTACTGAACTTATCACACCGATATGCTGATTTCCTACAATTTTTTTTTCCTTTTTTTTTTGTATCCAGATGAGCAAAAAGTAAATAAGTAGTTCAGTCGCACTACAGCACTGCATAGTAGACAGAACACAAGTATGTACAAACAACACAGCAAAAGCATGATTTAGTGCGGAAGTATCCCTTTCATACCGCGCAGAATGCGCTTCATTCGCTAATTATATTAACGCTGCATGAGCTCTGTGCATCGATTAGGCAGAGAGGAGCGTAAATATTACCAGAAAACTGCAGTCAATGCATTTCATTCGCCGACAATTCGCTGCACACAAGGAAGCGCTGCTGCGTGTAGTGTGTATTTGCATACGCGTCGCAGACCACTTATCCCCACTACCGCAGAGTGCCACCTATGGCCCGAACTCGCCACGAATAGCAACTCCTGCTTAACCACAAAGTAATCCATAGACTATCGGCTAAAAGACATCCCACACAATTATGTGTTAGCTGGATCAGAATGACTTTTCAACGCACCAATGACACTCTTGGCAAATGAGCGGTTCTTGAGAGTGGCGAGCCCCAGGTCTCCAATCTTGACGGAGCCAGTGGTGCCGGTAATGAAGATGTTGTCGCACTTGAGGTCCCGATGAATGATTGGCGGTGGCCGCGAGTGCAGGAAGTGCAGGCCTTTGAGAATCTGACGACACCAGGACTTGAGCACTTTCATGTTGATCTTCTTGAAGCGGCGCAGGTACGTCTTGAGCGTGCCCGATGTCATGAGTTCCGTGATGAGCACCAGGAACTTGCGCTTGGCTGTGTTCACCTCCCAGTAGTCGTAGAAGCGCACAATGTTCGGGTGCTGGAGGCCCTTCAGCATCTCCGCCTCCTCACGAAAGCGCTGCCGCTCACTTTTGTTGAGCCGTTCCTGCAAACAAGAATAAATTGTGGAATCCATCATACACTTCTTCCTTTGTTGCTCTCTCGCTTTTAAAGCACAGCATCACTACTGAAATTCGTTGCTGGGCTAGTTGGTTTGAGATTGAAAATCAGTTTCAAAATTTAGCTGTACAGCTGTGGTAACCACCGTTAAACGACAACAATGCCACCATTTCTACGATGCCAAGCCTTTTTATTTGGTGCACGTTATGTGTGGCCCTATTCTGACGTGTAGGCACACGTCCAGGCACCACTCGCGACACCGCCCGCTAGCATACGCCACTGTGCTAAGCCTTGTCTTCACTGGACGCCAGTGACAGCATTCCTCTCTTGATTCTGTTGAGTGCTTGGTTGGTCGCTGCTGGCAAGATGATTGCACCCCTGCAACAAGTGCACCACATGGTGCCTTTGCAGTAAGCTTCTCGGCAACACATTCAGGGGCCCCCTTTTGAGTGGTAGCCGTGATGACCTTCGCCCTGCACGCAAGCTTGATCGGTAGAGACCGGATTATAGGCAAATGCCTATTTTGTTCCTTTCGTTCCTATCGTGCAATTTAGATATATGAGAATAATTTAGAAGTTAAGAAGGGCTCTTATAGTATTTTTATAGTGCCTATAAATGCCTATTTTGGGTGTTTTTGCCTAAATGCCTATAAGTGCCTATAAATGCCTATTTTAAAAATGAGAGCCAATATGAGCGCTATTCAAGCCCAAATTTTGTTTTCGAGTATGGTGTGAGACTATTATTCATGTACAAAAGGCAACAATGATATTTCCAAACACTATAAGGTTCAACAAAGACAAAGCTGACATGCTGCGAGTGATTGGAAGAGGAGCATGAGGAGTGCAAAAGACGCTATTTTTGCATCTATAAGGTGAAGCATGTCTCAGCGTCTGCAGTGGAATTGACTGATTGATATGTGGGGTTTAACGTACCAAAACCATCATATGATTATGAGAGACGCCGTAGTGGAGGGCTCCGGAAATTTCGACCACCTGTGGTTCTTTAACGTGCACCCAAATCTGAGCACACGGGCCTACAACAGTCTGCAGTGGTAGGAGGAGAGAGAAAGATTAGGTAAGAAAATAAAAGTGACGTCTATGGCTGAGGACGTTGTGACCGCCTTCTAGAGACAGACGTCCAGTGCCCTAAAGGAACTGAAGAACCACCCTGAAAACCTGGGTGTTGCGGTGGGAAAGGAACATGTGGTTTTTCTGGGCAGCCACAGGTAGCAGGAGAACGAGTGAAAAACCATGGGGGGCAGCTCATGGAATGCTCTCGTTGATTCAGTGGTGATGAAGGTCGCCAAATTGTTATACTTTATACAGTGAAGCCTGAGACAGGCGCCGGCATGTTTTCAATCAACGGTGTATTAGCGTACATTAACCGTATGCTTGAATACGCTTGTTCCGTATGAAATCCCTGGTCATATGTCTAAGTGACAAACAAAGAAATACAGAAAGGGTTTCAAGGTTAGACCTAGGCCATTATTCAAAAATGACAGCTGTAACAAAGTGAAAAATGAACTAGGATGGGCATTACTTTCATCTGGTTGAATCAAACTGTGGTTAAAGCTCTCATGTCAAGCATTTCATGGTAAAACTCGCATTCGAAAATAAATGTACCTATACAGTCCTCTTTGCGCAATGGTAGTTAAGATTCTGGAATGTCATATCAGATATAATTTTTTCTAATAATTCGTTTTTTGTTGGTTTCATAACAGAATGAAATGGCTTATAAAGAGAACAAAGTGTGTTGTGTCAATAAAGGCATATTTCCTTTGACATTTTAACCGATCAGCTGCAGCGCCTTGGGGTAAAAAATGTTATGTTCATGAAGCTTTTGTTTTGTTTGTAATTTACTTTTTAAGCGTCCCTCTCTAGGTGACATAATGAGTTGTAGTTAGACACTAGAAGTTCTTGATTGCCCAATGAAAAGTGTTCTACCACGGTGATTTTGCAAATTTATTTCATTTTTATTTTTTTCATTTATTGTTTCACTACGAGCCACCAAAACATGATGCAAAGAATCAAGCTTGAATCCCTTGCCTCTCGTCCCATGTAGCCATTGCGACCCTCGTTTCTTTCATGTTTTCTTCGGTATTGGGACTGAATCGCGTAATGCATACACACCAAGAAAAACATGCGTAAGCAAGGTCACGCACGCATGACGTGCCCCAGCCTACATGTGCATGAATGTCCTTAATGTTTTCTTTGGCATTCTCTGTTGTGTATTACCAGTTTCTGTGGCATGGATCAGTCAGTGCGTGTACTTTAGGAAAGGCTGGTAAGAATCATGTATAGTGACCGCGGTACAGCATGTCGCTCCGCTGAAACTGCGGTCAGAGACGACACACCAAACACAAACTAAGCGTTGTGAGGGTTGGTGAAGGCACGATGCAGGAACGACGAGAAGACAAATGCAAAAGAAATGGGATAGTAATAGTAGTAGTCGTAGTATTAGTAGTATATAGTAGGAGGAGGAGTGGTAGTTTGTGTGGCGTTACATAAAAAAACACAATATGAATATGAGGGATGCCGTAGTAGAGGTCTCCACAAATTTTGACTATCTGGTGTTCTTTAACGTGCACTAACATCGCGCAGTACTCAGGCATCTACTTTTTCGCCTCCATCTAGATGTGACGGCCACGGCCACAATTGCACGTGCAGCCTTTGGGTCAGCAGCATGACTGGTCTACCGAGGCGGACGCGAAACGAGGGCCGATTAGTGAATAGCATCTCTAGGCTATTCAAAACAAAATAATAATATCAAATTCCGTTTGCATGTTATTCCGTTTGCATGTTCTATTATTTTTCTCAGCTTTCATTCATTATAGTGATTTTGAAAGGGCCGTGCAAAGACACGGAGAAAAGAAAGACATGGAGACAAACACCACCGTCTTTCTTTTCCCTTTGCCTTCGCACTTCCCTTTCAAAATGACATGAAGCAGCTAGCCCAAACCAAAGTACTGCTCGTTCATGCTACACAACAGAACGCACAAATTGGGCATGCCAAGTAGAATAATGTCACGTGCGACGCTCTTAATAAGGTACCGCTTAAAATACAACATATAATCAGGAGACAGGACATTTTTTGTCTGTTTTTCCAGATATAGCTAGCACTTAACGAAGTTCTGATGAAGAGCATACGGTATGTGGCCTCAGCCCACAAATGTCAACGTAAAAGAGTGACGTAAAAACAGGACCGTTCCTTGCTGTACGTCACTCCCTAGATCTTGGGGCGCACGTCCGCAAGAAGGGCAAGTGGCATTCATTCGAAATTGAGCTTTTTTCGGCGACATGTTTCAATCAGTTTATTACGTGTAAAATACATAGAATTGTTTGTTATTATTATACAGTTAGGACCCCGGAGCCCATTGAAGGGCAGTTGCAGGGGTCCGTTTTGTAATGTAATTTTGCAAATCTTAAAAGGAATGATCCGAAATGCCCAAACCTAGTGAGGGGCCCTTTAAGGTTTTCACCTATAGAGGAGAAATTAGTTCTACGCGATTAGACCTAGCATCTCTCTCTTCCGGGGTATCAGTGGTCTGGTTATTTGCTCCTGCGCTGCCCTTCCCAGCCACAACGAAACAAAAGAAACCCAGGAGAGTGTTAATTGAATGGTGGGCAGTTGACGCACAATGCTAGACAACAAAACGGAAGACCACATACTGCGAATTGCGCACGAAATGCATGCCCACGTTCAATCATTGGTACCTTTCATTTTTTTACTTCTTGTCGTAGATACAAGTCACCAACGTCGTTGTTTTGGGATAATTCAATTTGGTAGAAATTTATTGTGCCTATAATTATATTTTTGAGGGCCTAAAACGGTGTCTTACCTGCCTGTCTTTGGCGCCTAAAACACACTTTTTAGTGCCTAGAAATCCGGCCACTATTGACCGATATTGCAGAGTTACCCTGTACGGCCCCCAACTGCCATGCTGTGCTGCATGTTGAACATGGCTGAGCAAAGATACTTTGAAACTGTATTGCAATACAATACAAGATAGTCAGAGTATTGGAAATACAGATCAAACATACTGCCCACAAAAATTGTATCCTAACATACTTCGATACATTTGCAAATTTGTTGTTATAGACCCCCCCACCACTCTAGTAGCTAATGTCATACCTGCGAAGTTCAAGAATTGCAAATCCGGATGATTTCTGCAACGGAGGGGGGAGAGGGGTTGATAATATTTTCTACTTTTTTTTTGCACCAACAGAAAACAAAAAAGGTCACAAGAAATGGGAGGGGGGACCGCGTTGATTTATTCCCTTTTTTCTTAGCAACAAAATAAAAAAACAACGAAAAAAGGGGGGTAGGTAAACATGAATGTTGAGGACTAATAATGGCTTGGAGTAGCCAAATTTACTCGTATTTCTAAAAATTTCCCACCATAAAATCAAACAAGCAAAATCTATTACTGTCATAAGAATTCGTGTATGCCTTCCTGGGACACACGTGAACGGACAAGACGGCGCAGCCGGCTGCCGGAAAAGCATGGGTCAAAGCTTCGCTTGCAACTACTGAAAATGAATGCCAAAGTATATCCAATGTAGATTGACAGGAACAACATGTGTTGCTAGATTATTTGGACAGGAATGCCAAATCCTTTCAAGCCTTTTTGTAGTCTTTATTGCCTTTAAGCTGATGATCGCACGTTGCGGCCGCAGTTACCCGCGTGCCGGTTGCGGAAAACGGTAGTTATATTTTCAATCCACACACGCCATCAAAACCAAGTAATTTCTTGTGCTATCTATGATTGTATCTGCCGAGGTTTTGTCCGCAGCTCTTGTGGAAAGCAACATCATATTGACTGGTCGAGCATTGGACACGCATGCATTTTCGGAGTTCTGTCAGTTCGTTGCCATACATGATCTTGTCTAAAGCGACCACATTTTCGTCTATAGCGGTTGAGGCAAACGATAACCAAAGTTCTGATAGTGTGTGCGCTAGCTGCGCACGTCCTTCCAAAACTTCGAA